GGAAGCATGTGTCCTCTGTGCGGACTCCCTGCCTCCTTGAACCCAGCAGGCAGTGTGAGGTGGCCGCCCAACTCCTCGCTCCTCGCTGCTGCCTCAGAGCATTCTCCCTCTCTCCCTTCTCCCTAAAAACACCTGTGCTAACCTCCAGGTCATTGTACCATCCACTGCCCCTCTTCAACTGGGTCCTTCACTGACCCCAAAGTCCTGCTGTCCTTTTCCTCACTGATTTCAATGCCTGGCATCCAGTTATTCTCTCCAGGACTACTCTCAATATATATATTATTTTTTAAAAGACCCTTGCTAGGAGATAGGTGGTATATTACACGTTTTGGAAATAATTCATTCTGTGTTGTACAAAATGAGATAAGGGTAACTCTCCTCTTGACAAGGATTCAAGAGACCCTTGGACCTCACGACAGAGCTCCAGTTAAGGCATTGCCCCTAATTTGTGCCATCTAGCCAGAGACTTTTATATTACTTGTCAGTAATATAAAATATCATCTCCACAAACTGTCATCTTTATGAAATGAAAAGTTCAACAATGACTCCAAAGCAAAGACAATAAAATACGGGGGAAGGAAACTGCTGCTGTTTCTAGTGTCTGGTGGCTCCAAGCATTCATTGACTTCTGACAGCAAACCTGGAACCTCTATCTCCCTCTTCACAAAGCCTACTTTCTGTGTCTCTTATAACGACACACATCATTGGATTGAGGGTCCTCACAGGTAGCCTAATTTTTAAGGATCAATTATCTCAGGATTCTTACGTTAATTATATTTGAAAGGGCCCCTATTCAAAATACATTTACACTTATAGGATTTTTCTACTCCTGTAAAGAGCTGGCGTCGCAAAAACCCACAGGGGCAGTTCTACCCTGCCCTCCTGAGTCACTAGGAGTTGGCACGGATCAGATGGCAGTAATTTGGTTGGAGTTTTCAAGGTTAGCTAACATGGGTAGATTTGAATCTCTGAAGTGTCCATTAACAGCCAATCACATTAATTGTTTGTACCACCTAAGAACTCCATAACCCCCTATACCAGAAAAGAAGTTAGAAAATTAAAGGAAAATACTACTAACTTTAATATAAACGGATATGAAGGACTTGTGAATAAATCTAATAAAATATGACCAACACTTCTATGGACAATAAATTGTAGCCAACCGATGGAAGGGCAAATTGAAATAAATATAGCACTCTAGAACAATACAAGTTTGTGGACTTGGAAGACTGATTATTATGAAAAGTATAATTCTTCCAAATTAGCTCATAGATTCAAAGCAATCCTAGTCAAGGTCCTAACAATACTGTCCCCTGCGGCATGATCAAATAACACTACGATTTTTTTTAAAGCAAGCTCCAATAATATGCTCTTTACATAGACCTCATAGGTAAAAGCAAAAGGATGAGGGAAACGATATATTTACCATAGTCATAAACACAGTACTGAAGAGAAAATTTGAGAGGTTGTGTTAATATCCAATAAAATAGAGTTTAAGATGAATAACATGACCAGGAAATAGACAAATATTGCATAATAAAGTGGCAACATTTTCAAGAAGGCATCACCATCCTTAATGTGTATGTGCCTACAGTGAGAAATGTGGGTAATTCACACAGCAATCACGCGCACTGCATTGAGTCAAGGCCTGTGGGACAGGGTGGACCTGCCTCTGTCGGTGTCAGAGGAGCTGGGGTCTTCAAACTGCTGAACGTGCAGCCAGCAGCCTGATGTGGAACCGTTAACCAGCAGGGCTCCTAATCAAAAGCCGATGTAGCACAAAATAGACACAGCTTTAACTATAGTTTGAGCTTTCAATTTTCCTGTCTGTGACTAGTAGGGAAGAAACAAAGAAAGCAAGAATGATAAAGAAGAATTTAACAGTACCAGGAAACCTGACTTAATTGAGACCATGCATTGCTTTCTGAGGTACTGGTAGGAGAATTCTTGCCTGCCCTGTAAGAAACCAGGGTTCCACTCCTGGCCAGTCGCAGACCTCAGGCACAGCCTCCGCTGGCTTGCATGGTGGTATGGTGATTGTTATACGTCCCAGAAATACAGGCGGCAAATCTTAGCCTCTGTACGTGTGGATGTCATCCTATGTGGCAATAGGATTTTCCTTTTTACGTGATGAAGCGATGATGTCATGTAGAGTCTGTTTTCAGTCAGTCGCTTTTGAGGTTTGCTGCTGTCGGGGGCCATTGAGTCCGTTCCTCCCCAGAGACATCCCACATAACAGAGACACTGCCCAGTCCCGCCCCACCCTCACACTTGCATTTACGTGTGAGTCCATAACTGCAGCCACTGGGGCAACCCATCTTGTTGGGGGTCGTCCTGTCTTTTGCTGTCCTTTCGTTTTACCAAGTATGATGTCCTTCTGCAGGGACTGTTCTCTCCTAATAACATGTCCACAGTATGCGATAGGAAGTCTTTTTAAAAAAATCATTTTACTGGAGGCTCATACAGTTCTTATCACAATCGATACATAGATCCATCGTGTCAAGCACATTTGTGTGTTTGTTGCCATCATCATTCTCAAAATATTTTCTTTCTACTTGAGCCCTTGGTATCAGCTCCCCATTTTCCCCCTCCCTCCCCACCTTCCCTCCCCCATGATCCCTTGATAATTTATACATTATTATTAATTTTTCATGTCTTACACTGACCAATGTCTCTCTTCACCCACTTTTTCTGTTGTCTGTCTCCCTGTGGGGGGATTATATGTAGATCATTGTGATCAGTTTCCCCTTTCTGCCTCCACCCTCCCCTTCCCTTCCTGTTATTCATACTCTCATTATTGATCATTAGGGGTTTATCTGTGTGGATTCCCTGTGTTGCGAACTCTTATCTGTGCCCATGTACCTTCTCTGGTCTAGCCAGATTTTCCCAATTCAAATTAATGCTACATGTGCATGTAGATTCAGCATGTAAGTCATTGAGATGAAATTATTTCTAAATAAAATCAATTTACAATCTTCATGGATTCCAAAAAGAAAATCTATAGTGAAAATGAAAACGAGAAACTATGCTTCTCAAAAGTGTCAAGCACTCTGAATATAAGAAGTTTAACCCTAAGAATTTTCAGCCTCCTTTCTCTTAGAAGTATGGCTTTTCTCTGTGGCACAAGCTGAACCCAAGGG